GATTTTGCTCCCTATGTCAGTGGTTATACTGCAGGCATGACAAGCCTGCCCTCTGATGGCACTTTTCCCTTTCAGAATAAACCTCAGTATCTCAGCATTGACCCTGTGCCATCCAAGGCAGCTCTGCCCTCCACTGGCAGCCTCCAGAGGTCCTGTGTTCATGTCTGTGCATGTTGATGACGAGGTCTCACACTCACCAAATTGCTCTTCACTCCTCTCATCTTATATTGTGTTTTTCCCATCTTCATTCATGGCCCAGGATGTTGCGATATTAATCTGATTTATGACAGAGCCATCCCACCTGAGGCTTGGGAAGATGGCTCCCCTCCGATCACTTTCATCAGCAGCATAAGTGGAAGGCAATAAAAACCCATGCGGAGGCTCAGGCTTTCAATTTCAATTGGAAATTGAAACTGTGCAATATGATTAAAGTTTAATCCACATCATCAATAAACATGTGTGCCAAAGAAATGAGAGATTGCTGGCTCTGTGGTCTCCAGCATGGATTTGACAGGAAGGGCCCACTTCTACGCTATGAATGGTGTGGAAGAGTGTTTACACATGAAACAAAGGAGATCACATGGGACTGAGGGCCTTGTCTTTTTCTTCCTTTCATGAGTTGCCAGCCTTGGCCAAAGAATTAATCTTCAAATGGCCAGCCTACTGGTGATGAGATTCTTCATGCTTAGCTAAGCTGTTCTTTAGGGGGGAAAAGACTGAATTGACTGCCAGTAGAATGGCCTTAGATGACTCAGACCAACCTCTACATCAACATGAGACATCAGTGGAGACTTTTATGGATTTTTGTATCAGATTGTCAATTCAATTCAGCAAACTAATGTTTGCATACAAATCACTGTGTCTAGCACAATACATAGATTTTTAAAATGGCATAGTCTCTGACCACAGATAGCTTGCAGTCTCCTGGGAGGGGATACAGCATGTATATAGAGAGACTGAACTAAGGAAAAGTGGCTAGAACTTTGCTCCAAAGCACCAAAACTTAAAAGGTGAAAAATTAAATGTAAGCCAATATATAAGTAATTTTCTATCTGCTTGATGGAATTTGCCTTGGTTACTTCTTGTGTTAGTTTCACAACATGAATAACAAAGTTTATTTGGAAGCAACTTTTGTGCAATTTTATTTGTCCCAAAGGCCAAAATTTTTGGTTTGGGTCTTTTATGCACAGATAAGAAGAAGGACCTCTGCCTCAGTGATAGGGACCAAGGAGAGATCCAGACAACATCCTTAAAGAAAGGAGAGGGATCAGCTACATGGTGCAGTGGATACAGCATCGGCCCTGGAGTCAGGAGGACCTGAGTTAAAAACCAGCCTCAGACACTTACTAGCTGTGTGACTCTAGGCAAATCACTTAACCCCCATTGCCTCTAAAAAAAAATTGAAGAAAAAGAAAAGAGAAAACACTTTTAGAAGGGGGAGGGCAGCATCATAGAAGGGCTTTTAGAGGAGGCAACTGAACTGAGACTTTAAAGGAAAAAAACATCTGAAATCCAGAGATAAGAAAAAAATTTAGATATGGGGGGTGGCTGCATGAATTAGGGGAGGTGAATCACAATAAGAGAGAAGCATATTAAAACAGCTTTGAGGTCCCACTTCACACCCTTCAGATTGTCAAAGATGATTAAAAAAGTAAATGACAGTTGGTGGAGAGGATATGGAAAGGTAGGTACACTAACACACTGCTGGTGGAGCTGAACATTAGCCTAATTATTCTGGAAAGCAATTTGGATCTGTACCCTCAAAGTCACTAAATTTTGCATACTTTCTCATGAGAGAAAGAGTGAAAGAGTGCATAAAAATATTCATAGATACGATTTTATTTGTAGCAAAGAACTGAAAGCTGAAGGGTGCCTATTAATAGGGAATGATTGAACAAATTATGCCATATAAATTTGATGGGATTTTGTTGTGCCAAAAAAAAAATTCATGAGAAGGATGGAATTAGAGAAACCTGGGAAGACTTACATGAACAATGTAGAGTGAGGTGAGCAGAATAGGGGAGCAATTTATCCAATAAACATAGCATTATAAAGAAAAATAACTTTGAAAGACTTCCTCTTTTCAGTGAAATAAACCAGGCACATCTTCAGAGAAATGATGGTGAGCATACTTCTCATCACTTTAAGCAGTGGACTAGAGGGGCAGAAGAAGACATACATTTTTTTAACATGTCTATTGTGTGAATTTTTTTAAAAACTAGGTTAACATGGTACAAGGGAGATTTCGGGGGGGGATAGAATTGAGGGGGAAATAGGGGTTGTGAAAGTAATATCTTTGTAGGTTCTTGCTCTGGATTCTGAGTTATTGGATGTCATCCCCATCTATATGTGGGAAAACATCTTGAAGTTAGATTGAGCTGAATTCTCATTACTCTTTTCTGTTGAAAATAACATTCAAACTAGTTTACTGTCTTTAGCAACTCATCAAAATCTGTCAGCCTTTTTTCATAATAAAGTCCATTTGAATATGCCTTTACCTCTCAGAGGCACATCATATCTCTGCACATTTGCCACCCCCCTCAGCCTAATTGCATCTGTTCCCTCACATTCTCTTCTCACTATCAATATTTAAAGTTGACTGCCAACTTGAGTACCAACTCGAAGATTCTAGCTATTTTTGTTGAATAATAGAATGAACTTAGCATATATTTTCCATGGCTATCCCACTATGATTAAATCACCTTTCTAGTTTCTTCAGGGATCTTTATTACATGATTTCATATTTTGTAGTATTTATGTGTTGCACAGTTTCAAAATCTGGGCCTTTAGAACTTTCTCACAATCTATCCTTTTATCCACTTTGGGTACCTGTCAATATTATAAAGATTTGGCTACAGTTCTGACCCAAATATCCCATATGTTTTCCACGGGAGTGATGGGAGGAGAATATTTGATCTCGCTAAGAAAACTCCTAACCTATGTCCATGGTTCCACCATGATAAAATACTATGTACTTTTATGAGGAGGTCTATTAGCATCTATAGGTTCTTCTGGTACCTCAGATAGCTTTTTATTTTAATCTCATTCTAATAATTTGTCTCCAAATGCTCTCATTAATAAAAATCATTTAAACCCTATTTAGCATCCTCTCATCCTCTGAGAGCCTTCTTAATCAGTTTACAATTACTATCTGCAACCCTTATCTTACTAATAACTTTAGAAGAGTTTGTATCCTCGTGTAATTTATAGAAAACCCATATCTCCTATGATGGTGACATTTCTATAAATTATCAATATCCTCTTGTAAAATGTTCCCAATGTCATTGGGTACTCCACTAATGACACCTCCTCTATCTACATTGTTATGCACCAGTGTTCCAGGGATGCAAATTCAAATGAAATTAAAATATCCAAGAAGAAATTCTGGATAGAGAATTTCTCTAATACCAATACAAATCCAAAAAATCCAAGAATGAATTCCACTATGTGTCATGTAGGTATGCAAGACCCATGGGCTTTTTCTCTTCTTTTGTTCTTTCTGAGTTGGCTTTTTCATCCAACTTACACTCATGCTAATAGATTGGCCATTGAGAGTGGCCATGAAGCTACAACTCACTCTCAGCATGCTGGTGGAGGGAATATACAAACACTATTCACAAATTTAGTTCCTGAACTCCCTTACTGTTCCTTCCATTAAAAAAAATCAGCCAATATGGCCCCATTAACTTTTAACCAGAAATGTTTGCTAAACAGAAGATGAAGCAAGAATAATTAAAACATAACATTCTTCCCATAAACCCAGAATGTGCTTTCTCATTGATGCATACTTCCTCTGTGGTGGAGAGAAGTCACAAACTTGTAAAACCATGGTATGGATACACACAAATAGTGAAAACCTGTGGCTAGCAGCTCACAAGTCAGGATTACACATCTTAATGCCTGTAAGTTCACTTATGTGTGTGGCTACTGCTATTCTAGGTTTCTCTGATCTCCTGTCCAGGAACATTCTCTGCTCTCCTGGAGAGGACCATAGCTCAATGCTTTATGCCTCTTCTCTTCTGGATCTTCTAGACAATTTCAATTTCTTTCAGCAAAATGCACTATCTAGCTGACTCTTTACTATGGACAAATGCCCCTCTGAGGAGCTTTTTTTTTTTCATGGTGTCTCTTCTAACTATCTTTGTTTCTGTTCTTTTCTAGAAATAAAACTTCCTGTATAAGAAAGACACACCAATGTATATTGACAAGCAAGACACAAAATAGTGACTTCAGCATATGCCTAAATTAAAAACAACAAAAAACCTCCATGAGATGAGATGCATGGTTTCATGTGCAATCCTTTTTTTCTGTTCTCCCCCATATGTGGAAAAATTAGTGTTTGTGTTTGCCCACTGCAAAATGACCAAAAATAGTTTGTAAAAATTAATGCAGAAGATCTGGAGGGGACCCAGTAAGTTCAGAGGACAACAAGCTGTCTTATTGGCCTGTAATAGCTAGTACTAGAGGGTAGTAGAAACCGTAAGTGGAAATGGCAAAGAAATACATTTAGCCTGGATGTTAGTAAGCATCTATCAAATGACTACTATATGTTAGGCACTGTGCTAAATAGAGAAAGGCAAAAGGTGGTCTCTGGCCTCAAGGCATTCGGTCTAATGAGAGAGTCAAAAGGAAAGCAACTATTCTAAAACAGGATATAAACACACACACACACACACACACACAGAGACAGGGTTGGGGAGGGAGGGAGGGAGAGAGAGAGGGAGAGAAAGAGAGAGAGAGTACTTTATGTATATGTATATGTATATATGTGCAAAGTTTGAACTAGGCTTCATAACAATTAGATTGTCCAAAAGTGGGATAGGCTATCTAAGTGAGGTGGTGAGTTCTCCTTTACTAGAGGTCTTCAAATAATGTCTGGATGGCCACTAGGCAGGTATTTTATACTGGGGATTCTTGCTCAGGTATAGGTTAGACTATAGGGATGCTAAGGTATGATTCTCCTGTGTTTGGAACAGCTACCCTTCCCACTCTGCTCCTACCTGTGGAATGCTTTCTGTCCTTCAAAATTAATTCACATATCACCTTCTCCATGGAGTCTCCTGATTCCGCACTCCCACTCTGTTATGCCAGTGAGTCTCCACTGGTGAAAAGGATCTCTAAACTTACCTGAATGAGTTAACATATGACAGACAAAGAATTAATTGCTGCACTTATTTTTTTATATAAATGATTAAAACCCTATTCAAATAGTACTTATTTCAGTAATAATTTAACTTTAGATATAAACAATTTAATTTCTCCCTTGGTATTACTTGTATAACAACAACAATTACAGCCAGCATTTATATATTACTTTAATGTTTTACAAAGTACTTTATGAATATCTCATTTGATCATTATAACAACCCTGGGAGGTAAGTACTTTATTATCCCCATGTTACAGGTGAAAAAATTGAGGCTGAGGGGTTAAATTACTTACCAAGGGTCATGCAGCTAGTAAATTTATGAGATAAGATTTGGACTCAGTACATTTATATATGTGTGTGTGTATATATATATATTTATAATATATAATATATAAACATTAATAATGTTAGTTTTAAATACATAAACATGTAATAGACACATTTAATATATAAGCCTGTGACAGGGGTAAAGTATAGATCCTTCTTGTCTACAATGTCTATGCCTAACTCCATTGAATACTAAACATGGTCCCTAGCCAATTCCAGGTGGCTCAATACCGAAAGGACTTGGACCCTTGGTGTGACCCAGCAAATCCTGGGTGGTCCTTTGGCCATCCTTGCCCTCCTCCCACATGTCATCACAGTGTCAAGAGACCAAGGTGCTGTAACAATTAAAAAGTAACTTCTGATTCACTCTCTTTCTTCGGTACTCTGGAATATTTGGCAAACCTCCTAGACCTTTCTGAGAGACGGAGTTAAGTTGACATTCTTCCCCTCAACCTGGCAGCTAAAACAGGGTATGTGGCTAGTTTTGCTGACCATGAGTCTTGGGACCCTGCTGAATTTCTGCTTTATGTATGTTTGTTGAGCATAGGTGAATTGTGATCCTAAGGTGGAAATTTCCAGATGGGAAAGCAGCCTTATGTTCAAGAGGTTGGAACTTCTGGGTCCTTTAGTTAGAATAGACTGGCAGCATAATGAATTTCTACATTGTAGTGTGACCAATTGTAGAGTGATTAGCCCTACTTCTGGGCTGCTTGGCCAAAAGATTTTAGCCTGAAGTAATTGTTAGGACAATATGTAACATATGTGAAATATGAAATGTTGATTCAACAGTCACAAACTGTTTCATGTTTGATGTTTAAACTATTAACTTTTTGAGGGAGTACAGTAGTAATTATAAGGTAATGTTACTTGTTGAAGTTTTTCTGTCAGTTTTTTGAGTCTTTTGTATTTAGTAGTTCTTTGTGGAAGACATAAACAGCTGCCCTATACCTGATTACATTGTTCATTGAATATTTTTCTATTTTCCTATTTGGAAAGGTGAGAACCTAGGCATAAGCTGAACCTGCGCTTTAAGTAATTTACCATGGGATCATATAGTAAGAGTGTAAAGTGTCAGAAACCTTAAAGAAAAAAGAAAAGAATTTGACTCTGTCTTCAAAGATCAGCCCCACCTAGCCTGTATAAGCTGGTCCAGAGATGAGAGAGCTCTCTTCATAGTAAGAGAGGGGCAAATAACCCAGCGGCACCTCTTAAGTCTAGCAGTTGAAATTGTTATTGTTACAAACAGAATTAACAGATTATATGTTAAGGATATGTGATCATGACAATAAGTCACAACCTCCCTGTAATTTAGCAGACACATTAATTTTTTTTTTATTGCAGACACATTTTAGAGAGATGCTAAAGATTCATAATCACATAGTTGGCAAGTATCAAAGATAGGATTTGAACCCAGGGTTTTTAGATTTCAAAACTGAACACTAAACTCACAATTGCATGCATGTGTTTAGGGCTCTGGGGGGAAACTACTACCTCATATTCAAAGTTATCCCATAGGTCTGGGGGTCTTGCTTATACTAGAACTTACAAGCCCAAATGGTGTCATTCCTATTAATGGTTAATCTGTAGATACAATTGGCTCAAAGGTATTTACTAAGTTGACATAGTGAAAACAGTAGCAACAAAACATTTCATCCTATCCCCACTCCCATCAAGCTAGGGTGAATTTTTCAACAAATACACATAGGATTCATGGGAAGATCGATCAGGTATAGACATAGCTGAATGAGTGCAATTCCTCTTCCTCATGACATCTCTTCTAATACTCAAAGGCAGCTCTCATGCCCTTCATTCAGTCAATATAACATGTTTCTTTGACTCTAGCTCTAATGTAAGGCACTTGATAGGTGCTGAGGGATACAAAGATGTACATAACATAGGCACCTTACTTAAGGGCTTATACTCTACTCTTCTCTTAAGTCTTTAGCCCCCTTATTATTTTTTTTTCTGATTGCACCCTCTAAGCTCATCCTTGGATCACTCTCACTATTCTCTGCTTTCACTCTTACATACAAGCTACCAAATAAAGGTGAAGAAAATCACACAAATGTTCTGATTGGTTCCATTACAAATTTATATCACAGAGCCTCAACTGGGTCTTCACTGCTGCTGGTCAATGCTACTAAACCTCCCTTATCAACTCATATTCATACTCTCCAAACCTTTTTCATTCCTCATCAAATCTCTCATGGCTCCCCCTCTTCCCAACCTCCAAAATGAGAAATTTTCTTCACATTTTACAGGAAAAATTGAGGCCATTTTCTATGAAGTCTCTCTTCTTGTCTCATATCACTCATGTATCTTCTGCCATGATCTTTTCCTTCACTCCTATCTCATATGAGACAGATGTTACCCTTAAAGGCTAACCCCTCTACCTCCTCAAGCAATCCCATTTCATCCCATCTTCTCCAGATGATTACCTCCTCTGTTATCCCCACTTTATCACTTATTTTCAACCTCTCTTTCTCTCTCTCTCTCTCTCTCTCTCTCTCTCTCTCTCTCCTGCTTCATTCCCTTCTGCCTACAAACATGCTCATGTCTTTTCAATCCTGAAAAAAACTTACTTATTCCTTTCATTGCCACTGAAAATTGTCCTATGTCTCTTCTGCCCTTTGTAGCCAAACTCCTCAAAAATGCCATCTATGATATGTGCCTCAACTTTCTCTCTTCTCACTCACCTCTTAATCCCTTATAATTCAGCTTCTGACCTCACCATTCCACCCGAACTGATCCCTCCTAAGTTACCAATGATGTCAATTGCCAAATCCAATGGTCTCTTCTCAATTCTTATTGCCCTTAACCTATCTGCTGCTTTTGACACTGCTAATTACCCTATTCGCAGGGCACCACTCTCCCCTGGTTCTCCTCTTGCTTACCTAACCTCTTCTTCTCAGTCTCCTTTGTTGAATCATTACCCAGATCACAGCCTCTAACCACAGTTGTCCCTCAGGATTCTGTCCTAGACCCTCTTCTCCTTTCCCTCTATACTACTTCACTTGGTGATCTCATTAATTCCCATGGATTTAATTACAATCTCTATGCTGACCTCCAACTGATTTTCAGTCTTAAGATATTCAGTAATCATCTTAAACTCAACATGTACAAAATAGAACTCATTGACTTCCCCCATAAACACTTCCCCCCCTTCTACCTTCCTTGTTACTGTTGAAGGCAAAGCCATCTTCCCAATACCTTAAGCTCATAACCTAATGTCATCCTCTACTTCTCACTATCTCTCATGCCCCACATCCAATCCATCATCAAGGCCTGTTGATTTCACCTTTGTAACCTATCCAGTATGCCCCCTTCTGTCCTTCGACACCACTACCACTCAGGTGCAGGCTGTCATCACTTCGTGCCTGAACTATTGCAATAACCTGTTGTGACTCTGTCTGCCTTGAGTCTCTCCCTACTCCAATACATCTTCCATTCAATCACTAAAGCCATTTTTCTAAAATGTAAGTCTGACCATGTCACTCCTCTACTTAATAAACTCCAGTGGTTCCCTATTGCCTCCTGGTGCAAATATAAAATTCTCTGGCATTCAAAGCCCTTCCTAACCTGGACCCCTCTTCCATCTCTAGTCTTCTTATACCTTACTCCTCAGCACATGCTCTTTGATTCAGTGACAGTAGCCTCCTTGTTATTCCATAAACAAGACACTTCATCTCTAGACTCCAAGCATTTTCTCTGGCTCTCCCTCATGCTTAGAATGCCTTCCCTCCTTATCTCAGACCACTGCCTTCCTGGCTTCCTTTAAGTCCCAATTTAAATCCTGTCTTCTATAGGAAACTCTTCCCAACACCTCTTAAATTTAGTGCCTTTTTTCTCTTAATTATTTCTTATCTATCCTGTATATAGCATGCTTGTGAATATTTTGGGGGTTGTTATTGTTGTCTCTCCAAATACATTGTGAGCTCCTTATGGGCAGGGACCATCTTTTACCTCTTTTTGCATCCTCAGTGCTTAGTACCTGGGATATAGTAAGTGCTTAATAAATGTTTGACTGGGATGCAAAAGATTTTGTTGAGGTTGGATAGATAAGACATAGCAAATTATTGGATCTAGAGAGGTAAGGGAGAGTGAAGATTTTAGGTTGACTCTGAGATTGTGAAGCCAGTTGACAGGCAAGATAGTAGTACCTTGAGCAGAAATAGGGAAATTAGATACAGTGCATTTAGGGGAAAAACAATAAATTCCATCATGGACATGTGCTTCGGATGTCTATGGGACATCCAGAAGGAGATATACAACAAATTGTTGATGATGTGGGACCAAGCCTTATCTTCTTGGTAAACATTTCAAGTTCCTTCAACCAATTTTCACATGACATGATCTCTAATCCACTAATTGTTCTAGGCCTCTCCTCTGGCAACTATACTTTATCAGTATTTCTCATAAATTATGACTCCCCAAACTGAACACAACGCTCTAGGTGTGTTCTGATCAGGGCAAAGAACGACAGGTCTGTAAGATCGCTCATTCTCAACACTTTGCAACTCTTCATAGAACCTCAAATTTAATTAGGTTATATATTTTTTGACTTGCCATATCACATTGTTGAATTGTGCATATGTGTGTGTGTGTGTGTGTGTGAGAGAGAGAGAGAGAGAGAGAGAGAGAGAGAGAGAGAGAGAGAGAGAGAGAAATAGTGGTCTTCTCTAGAGTGAGGTAGAAAGGGAAGGCAGGAGACAGTTCAGAACTTAAAATGTAACAAAAAGGTTAAATTAGATTTAAAAAAAGATTGCATTAGTTCACCTCATGTATTATTGATCTATGCTTCCTTGCACATTAACCTAAGGAGTATAACTAGAATGTCTATAGGTAAGTAGAGTGTACATAAATAATTTAGCCTTATGTCCCTGTGTGAATGTTACTTCTAGTATGAGGATGGCCAAGTCAAAGAAATATCAAACCTTTACTGTTCCAATAGGTTCAAGCCAGAGTCTTTCTTTCCCTATCTCCTCCTTTGGTTCCTCCTGGGAGGGATGGGAAAAAGATCTGGGAAGTGCGGGCTTCAAAAACAAGAATTTTAAAGTGTCCAAGTCCCAGAAAAATAGTCTCAGAACTGGAGATATTCTGATTTAGAGAGTAAATACCTATTTGATGGCCCCATCTGTCCACCATCTTCTACTTCCCTAAAATGGGACAGTTTCACAGATGAGGAAGACAGCCAGCTCCCAGGATGATAATAATGATGGCTGTAGTGGTGTCAGTAATTAGCTGAGTGACCACAAGTAAGTTACTTAAGAACCAAAATGGAAGACTCTAACTGTCTCCAGACCATTTTTCACATTTACCAGGACCCCAAGGCCAACCTAGCCTTAGCATCTTGTCACCTCCCCTGCTGCTACCTGCCACATCTCCTACCTCCCTATTTTCTATGTCTTGATCTGAGAACAGCAATTAAATGTCAAATTAACATTGCCATCACAACTAGTCCTTCTAGTATTTGAACATAGCCAACACTCTATCTCTTCCTTCCACTCTGAGTTTTCTTCTGTCCAAAGTAAAGATTTATAATTCTTTCATTTTATTCCCTTATGACATGAACTCAAGGTCCTTCACCATTGCAGTCACCCTTCTGCAGATGATCTCAAATTCAGTAGTGTTCTTCCTAAAATGTAACTCGCAGAATTAATTACACTACTTTAGATATGGGTTGACCAGGTCAGAATACAATTGGATCATCATTTTTAGTGAAAACCCAAGTGAGGGAGCAGGAGTTTCCTCTTGGACAAAAGTTTAGATGAGCGTTTCTCTCTCTCTCTCTCTCTCTCTCTCTCTCTCTCTCTCTCTCTCTCTCTCTCTCTCTCTGTCTTTCTCCATTTCTGCCTCTCTGTCTCTGTCTCCATCTCTATCTATCTTTCTTCCCCCTCTCTCAGGATGATTTGCAGGTGGCAGGCAGCAAAGCCATCCCTGGGCAGGAGATGTTAGGTGGGTGATAAAACCGTCAGCCAAGATTTGCTACAACTTTTTTTTATTCCTTGGCTCCCATTAAAAATGATTTGTTGTAGGGACAAAACACAGGAAAACAAATGTGATTAAAGTTTTCCCATATTAAATACCTGTGCAGGGTGGCAGGCCAGCCCTGAACCCACTGGGGAAACATTGACAAATAGTTGGGAAACAGGAGAGCAGCTGGTGGGCTCAGCTTTTTTTTTTTCATTTAAGAGAAAAAAGAAGAACCAACTGTCTGGTTTGGTTCCCATTCAGCTCTTTTCAGGCTGTGTATATTACTCACAGATTTGAAGATGGAGGGGATCTCAGAGATAGGTCATCAGGTCTTTAGCTTACAGACTGAGGAACCTGAGATTCAGAGGCTTTAAGTGACTTGCCCAAAGCCACATGGGTAGAAGAGTATCATAGAAAAGATTTGAACCTTGGGTTATTAATTCCAAATATAAACCCCTTTCCATTGTAACACACTGGGTTCCCAACTCCTGGGATCAGAGACACTATGATGCAGGGAAGAGGACTAAGGATCAGAGCCCTGGACATCCTCTTAAATGCTTTGGAGAATGTAGTGTGGTCAGTGAAATACCCCAGATCTAGTGGAGTTTCCTGAAGTGTGAAGAGGGAAGGACATTGAAAAAAGGCAGGCAAGCAGTCGATGGCATATATTAAGCATTGACTATGTGCCAGTACCAGAGTTATAAAGGAAAGTTTCCCAAGGCACAGGTTTTTAAAGATAATGAAATACTAGGAAAACATTTAATTATTTCCCTCATCACCATCTACCCATCCCCATCCATTAAAACGAAGGTAGGGACTATTTTTCATCTGTGTATTCCAAGTGCCTAGAACAGTGCCTATACATACCAGATGCTTCAGTTCAATAAGTGCTCACTGAACTGAACTGAATGAGACTTGGCATTTAAGAAGTGATACTTGGAAGTTATGCTCTTGACTGTGAATGAGGGTAAGAAGAAGGGTGCTCTTCTCTATAGGCAGTGCACCACCAATGGAAGACTAGGTCAGAACTACCCTGAACACCTTTAGAACATCAACTATGATGCCTGTGATGTCACAATCCCCTGTCCTGACCCATGGGGATCAGTGGAGCATTTCCATTGGCTGGTAAACCTTCCAATTCAGCTGGTTGAAAAAAACAAAACAAAACAAAACAAAACTGAGCAGGCCGAGCTGGGGGGAAGATAGATCTCAAATTATAATGTTGTAAAAGGACAAATGTCCAATAAAGGATTTGGGAAAATTAAATTAACTAGCAAAGCTCTTCTGCTAAAATCCAGTTGTTTAGATGGTAGGCCAATTAGAGTGTTGTTGGTTTTGTTTTGTTTGCTTTGTTTTATGCTTTCCTTTCTCCCCTTCTATTTTTTTGCCTCCCAGTGTTTTATATGTGCTGGTGATTTGGTATGCGAGAACACATCAGTTTGACAGAAAAGCCCAAGAAAGCATAATCACGTAGCCCAGATATTAGTGCCATTGCTTGGTCCTGGCGGTGATTGATGGGACTTTTATCACACATGTAACAGTCTGCATTTCTTTCTTCCACAGCTTGCTGGCAGGCCATGTTTTTGTTGCTCAGACCCAAGCCCACACCTTGATGCATTTTGGATAAAAGGGCCCTGATGTTCACAAGGTTACCTCCATCAGTGCCGGGCTCTCTCCTGACCAATGGGCTTGCAGGAGGACGTGTGCTAGGGTCAGCGTTACTCCTAACAGCTTTCACTTCTATATCACTCAAAGCATTTTCCTCTCCTTCACTCCAGAAGCTTCATTTTATAAAAGAGGAAATAGGCTCAGAGAGCAGGGAATGGCAGGAGAGCTAGATTTGCGATCAGAGAGCTCAGCTCTACCACTCACCACCTGTGGGACATTGGGCAAGTCATTCAAGGCCTCAGTTTCCTCATCTTCAAAATGAGGGGGTTGGACTAGTCTAGGGGTGGGGAACCCATGGCCTTCAGGCCATATGTGGCCTTCTAGGTCCTCAGGTGTGGCCCCTAGCCACATGTGGCCTCAAGGCCACAGGATCCCCACCCCTGGACTGGATGGTTTCTGAGGTCCCTTCCAAATCTCAGTCTATGATTCTATTGCCCTGCTATACTCAAAGCCTATACGAGTTGTCCAAAGGTAGAACCAACTGCCTCGGGAGGGTATAATGATAACAACCACCACCTTCCACTCACTTCTTATGTGACTTTGGGCAAGTTTTTGGGCCTTGGTTTCCTCTTCTGTAAAATGAAGAGATTGAACACAACTCCTAAGGTCCTCCTAGTTCTAAATTTATTATCCTAATTCACTTTATCTCACCAGGCCTCAGTTTCTTCATATGGAAACTAAGAGGGGTTGGACCCAATCTCTAAGGTTTCATCCAGCCTTGAATCTATGATCTTATGATTCTATTCTCCAAGTCACTTAACCCTGTTTGCCTCAGTTTCCTCATCTGTGAAGTAAGCTGGAGAAGGAAATAGCAGACCACTTCAGTATCTCTGCCAAGAAAACTCCAAATGGGGTCATGAAATGACTGAACAACAACCATGACAATAACAATCTTGTCCATAACTTACTTATTTGGTCTTCAGAAAAGGGAGTTATCATTACTAAGAGGTTATCTTGTCCAACCTCTTTATTTTAGTGATAAGGAAACTGAAACAAAGAGCAGGGAAGTGACCTCAGGATCATAGGATCCTAAATCTAGAGCGGCAGGAGTCCTTAGAGGTCATCTAGTCCAACCCTTTCATGTTACAGATGTCGAAACTGAAGCTGAGAATTCAAGTGACTTGTTCAAGGACACACAGGTAGTAGCAGCCAGAGGCAGGATCTAAATACAGGTCCTTTGACATCAAAGCCAATGCAGTGGACACATTGGGGATAATAACAGTACCTCCTTCTTAGGGTGTCATGAGTTTCAAATGGTTTATAAAGCACTTTGCAAATCTTAAAGCACCATAGGAGTTCTCTTCCTCCTCCTCCTCCTCCTCCTCCTCCTCCTCCTCCTCCAGGCAGGGATTCATTTTTCTCTTCCTGTACTCTTGAGTCTAGGCAATTTTAACTTTCCACCTTATTGCTCCCTCTCTCTCTCTCTCTCTCTCTCTCTCTCTCTCTCTCTCTCTCTCTCTCTCTCCTGTCTCTCTCCCTCTCTCTCTCTCCCTCTCTCTCTCCCTCTCTCTCTCCCTCTCTCTCTCCCTCTCTCTCTCCCTCTCTCTCTCCCCCTCTCTCTCTCCCCCTCTCTCTCTCCCCCTCTCTCTCTCTCTCTTGTCTCTCTTCTCTCTCTCTCTCTCTCTCTCTCTCTCTCTCTCTCTCCCTCTCTCTCTCCCTCTCTCTCCCTCTCTCTCTCCCTCTCTCTCTCCGTCTCTCTCTCTCTCTCTGTCTCTCTCTCTGTCTCTCTCTCTCTCTCTCTCTCTGTCTCTCTCTCTCTCTCTCTCTCTCCCTGTCTCTCTCTCTCCCTCCCTCTCTCTCTCTCTCTCTCTCTCTCTCTCTCTCTCTCTCTCTCTCTCTCTCTCTCTCTCTCTGTCTCTCTCTCTGTCTCCTCTCTCTCTCTCTCTCTCTCTCTCTCTCTCTTCTCTCTGTCTCTCTCTCTCTCTCTCTGTCTTATTTCTCTTCTTAGCTGTCGGACCTTCTCAATCTCCTTTTCTAGACCATCATCCATATTCTTCTCACAAAGTATCGAGCCTCAGTCTCCCCACCCAACCTATTCCCCAAAGCTCTGTCCAAGCTCCTTTCTATTCTGTCTCTACTTTCTTTTGGCAATCTTAGAAGCTGCCACAGGTTCAAATATCAACTCAAAGCAGATGATTCCTGACTCTATATATCTATAGCACTCATAAGTTCTAGAGATCTTTGCTTTCACTCCAACTTCTACTGACAGGTTAGGTCCTCAGAGCTTGACTCCATTTCCCCTTCAGAGGAAATGTTACATTCTAGGGTTCTATGTGTAGCCCTGAGGAGTAAAGATCAGGGGATAATTCTCCAATGCTGTTGCCTCAAGCCTCTACCAGTATGCTTCTCTCCAAGATTATCAGCTAAGAATAATGTTAGACTCAAGGCTTTTAGAAAAGGCTATTTACTTAGGCACAACAGTTGGAATAAAATATTCTCCTTCCTCCAAAAAAGTTTCTTCCACCATTACAGAAATATTCCAAGGGAAAGTGGGCTCCAATTTAGGGAGTGCATGTAGCAAAGAGGTAACTCACAAATCTTGGTTTCTGGAAGTCTTTTTTTTCCCACTTGTGGGGTACTCAAAATGTTCCCCTTAAACATGCTGAATCGCATCCATATGTCCTTGCCTCCTGGTGAAGACACTGCCATCAGCTGTTCTGAACATGAATGAGATGTTGGAAAGCCCAAAAATCTCCAGACTCAGGGAAGGCATGAGACTTGGCCAAAGCTTTCTTTGCCTTTTTCACTTCTTTGATAATTTCAATGATCTCTAGTGTGTGACCAAATTTCTCAGTCAAGCCAAACACGGTTCTTGTATAACATCATTTTTTGCCTTTAGTCTTAAGGCCTGTGATTAAATTGATTGGTCATACTTGAAGTGAGGAGGAGTTGAATGAGTCAATTGCTCTGCCTTTACTTCTTGTTGCTGAGTGATTTTTCAGTCCTTTCTGACTCTTCATGACCTCATTTGGGGGGTCTTCTTGGCAAAGATACTGAAGTGGCTTGCCATTTCCTTCTCTAGCTCATTTTACAGATGAGGAAACTGAAGCAAGCAGGGTGAAGTGACTTGCCCAGGGTCATACATTTAGTGTCTGAGGCCAGATTTGAATTCAGGAAGATGAGCCTTCCTGACTCCAGGCCTGGAACTCTATCCACAGTATGCACTGTGCCAGCTAGCTGCCCCCTGCCCTCTGCCTTTACTTAACCATCTCTAATCTCTCCTCTAATGTCCAGTTTCTGATTACCAACTGCCACCTGAATATCCCTTAAGGCATCTCAAGATGTGTCCAGTAGGACTTATTATATCTTCCTTCAAATGTGTCTCTCTGCCAAACTTCACCATTTCTGTTGAGGCCATGACTATGACTGGAGACATCTTGGCATGACTACTGCCTTACCATAACTAATAATTGCTGAGTTTTATCAATTTTGTTTTTGTAACATGATCCATGGAGTATGCTCTAATCCAAGAGGGAAGGAAACAAGTACTTATTAAACACTTACTTTGTGCCAGACATTATGTTAAATACTTAACAAATATTTCATTTGAGCCTCACAATAATCCTACAAGGTAGGTGCTATTATTATCCCCATTTAACCATTGAGGAAACTGAAGCAAAGATCAGTGAGTTGTCCAGGTACTAACTTGTGCTAATTTGTATAGCTAGTTAATTATCTAGGTCTAGATTTCAACTCAGGTCTCTTTGAATTCTGGCCTGGAGAGCTCTATCCACTATGCCCCTGAACTGCCTTTTCCACACTTTCATACCATCTGTCCCATTCTCTCCAATTTCCATAGCTCTCACTCTAGTTTAGATCCTGTATCACCTCTGAGCTACATCATTGCAAAAGTCCTCTGATTGGTCTTCCTGCATCAAACCTCTCTACTCTCCACTCAATCTTCTAAACAGCTGCCAAGATAATCTTTTTAGAAATTGCTCTGGCCATGTTGCTCCTCTACTCAAGAATTTTCAGTGGTTTCCCATGCCCTCTAGAATGAAATTCGATATCCTCAAGATTTCTTAAATCCTTTCACAGTCTGTTTCCCTCATGCCAAACTTCCCAGCCTTGTTTCATAGCACTCCACTAAATTCACTCCCTGTTCCAATCAAATGGCTTTCTAGGCTCGTATAGATAGAGCCGAAAGGGACCTTAATGGCAATTTCATCTGATTCCTTCATTTTATATATGAGGAAACTAAGACATTAAGTGACTTTGTCCTTGATCATACAACTAATGTCTGAGGGAGGATTTGAACTCAGATATCCCTGATTCTGAGTCTAGTGATCTAACCCCTATTTTACCTAGGTGTTCTCATATTCTGTTTCCCACCTCCACACC